AAAAGTAAGTAAAATGGGTCACTCATGCTTTATGAAAAAATGGGGGGCATGTCCTCCCTGTTCCCCCCAAAACGTACGCCCATGCATTCCTAAAGTTATGACTGTTATCTGTACATATAGGACTCGTTGTGTATTATAGTTTAGTTCTGTTCTGCATTTTACACTGAACGTTTTCTGAAAGATTGTTTGGCTAGGACTTTTGCCAGCCTGTTTTTATTTCAAATAAACTAAGAGAGTTGATTAATCTCTTCTCTGTGGATCTGCTGGTATTCTATATATTCCAATAATTCTGGGAAATGCCTTTAAGTGATTTAAAGCAATAGTAAATGTTATTACAATAGACCTCAGCGACTTTCCTACCAGCGACGAACGCACTCGGCTGTCTCATCCCACTCTTACGTTGACAGATATGACGATATTTCTCCGCCTCATTATTTTCCACTTAAGCTTTCATTGCCTCATTGTTTGGACTCTGTGATTAAAGCTTCTTAATGAAGTATCATATTAGAATGATTAAGTGGAGTTAAAGTAAGTTTAACTCCAGAAACTTTTATGCAACATCGCCTCCATTTTCTCTTAAACATCGTTATGTCAGCAGCCGTGCAACAATCATAACTATTAATCTGGTTTATTACCAGACTGTCAACATATTGTGGTTCTTGTTGACAGCGAAGCTAATAAAAATATATCATGAACCTAAATCTAACCTCATTTGCTCTTCTTTAGTTTTTCTTTTGTTGTTTTCTTAAAACTTCCCCCTCTTATCCATCACTTTTCCTCCGCTCAGACTGAATCTGTTTGCGTTTTGGTTTTATTGAGATAATCCATCTGAAATGTTCCATTGAGGTCTTCAACCTGCCTCTTTTAATGAAGACATTTCCGTTCTGGAGTCTTAGTGATGGATGGTTGTGAGTTTGTGCAAATAGATTGGTGTGTTTCCTCTTGTGCAACAGCTGTGTGTGCAATCCTTAAAGACCAAGTGACCAAGAGTGTGTGTGATTCTGAGAGAGAGGGGCAGGTGCACAGAAAATAACAAGTCCTTGTTTCCTCCGAAATCCATCAGAAATCTTTTAAACACCATGGAATTAGAGCAGCTCACATTACTCTCAATTACTGTCAGACCTAAAGAGAAATTCCTCCAATTATCCTCTCAAATACCTGACCAGATTAAGGACAGTGCTATCTGTAAGCTAACAGCAAGAAGAAGTCAGATATCATGTAGTTTTACTCAATGGCTTTCCTGTTCTGCTCAGACTGTTTTCAATTTGTCTCTTTTGGTTTGATGACTCTCTCAATTATGCTCAACTACTTGTTGCATGTGCCAGGAAGCTGTTCTCAATCATTACATCTGTTGCTCTCGTTTCGTCTTCTTCCGCACCTCTTCCTCGCGCACACATGTGCACAGACGTCAGCGGACCGCCAGCCTCCTCCTCGGGTCTAAACTCCACTCCAGCTGTGCTCCAATTTGCCTCCTCCAGAGTGTATGGGGTTTGAGAGGGGGGTGATTAGCACCGCGTACTGAACAGAAACAGTGAGAGGGAATATGTGTGTGTGTGTGTGTGTGTGTGTGTGTGTGTGTGTGTGTGTGTGAATACTGGGTTCCATCCACATTACTCCATAATCCCCAGCTGCCGTGCCGTGCTGACTGGGTTCCTGGAGGAAGAATTTCAAACTTGCCACTGGATTTACAACGGATTCTCCAAAGATTACTGCCGGATTTCCACGCCATTCCGTTTGGAAACTTTCATAACACATTAAGTCTGAAATGATTATTTTTATATTTGGGCTGTTGGAAGTTTTATTGATCTAATTATTTAAATTACAGACCATTGAATGAAATAAAATCGTAAATGTGTCACCAAACACCCGCATGTTCGAATTCAAAAAATTCACATGACTGATTTTAAACAGCAGATTGTTTTCGTTTTGGCGCACAAGAGTTTGAGATAAGTTTTGCAATGATCTCCAGACATGATTGTACCTATAAAATCAGATTTTGATTTGATTTAAAACACATTACAAATTATTATTTTATAGAACTTTGGTTGTCTTTGCTTTGTTGGATGGTTGGTTGTGGGTGGATCATGTGCAAAACAAGGTGCAACAATGTGCATATCACTGAATTTTGTTTTTACTCATTTGTTAAAAATGAAATTATTATAGTTTCCTGAATATCTTATGCATGTTACCAAATAGTTTTATCTGTAGTTTGACCAGTGGTGCCAGGGCGTTCTCCGTCTGTGCCCCCAAATTATGGAATGACCTTCCATTAGAGATCAGACAAGCACCCTCTGCCAGTTTTTAAGAGCAGGTTGAAGACCCATTTTTCCGCCGTGGCGTTCCACTAGCTTTCTTTTGATGTAGTTATTGGTATATTTTACATAGTAAAATATATTAAAATGCACATTATTGAATGCAGTGAGCGGTCTTTTGACAACTTCCACAGCAGAAGCCAGAGATTATCCTTCAGTCCTTCACAATAAGAGTCTATAAACATACAGATTAACTTCCAAACCTCTGTGACTTAAAACAAGTTTTTTTTTATTGTTACTTGGTAAGATTATTGTCTTTTCTTTCAAGCTTTGAGATACAAATACATATTTGAGACTCTTATTGTGAAGGATTTAAAAGTTTCTTTGATTTCTGTTGTAGAAACCAAAGGACAGTCCCTTTTTTTGAGGGTCACCTACTTTAAAGCAGCTCTTATGAATTTTCCTGCTTCTCCCTTTTACTGGTTGACAGCAGAATTACAACAGCCATAAATAGCCCTGCCATAGCCTGCTGTAGATAGTGCTACCAACAAACTAAAGCTAACAGGAGACGACTGATGCTAAATAAGCCACATAGCAAAAAGATTCAGACTGTTGGACAAAAAAAAACTATTACTTACAAGACCAGTAGCTACAAAGCCAGGTCACCATCAGTATTTTGTAGCCTCCTTTAGTTCGCTGAATTGAGTGTAGGCCACGCCGATGTTCACCTTCATTTAAATTCTCTGCTTCACCTTTAAAGACATTACTTTCTACTTCCAAGCTCCGCCATGATGCCAACAAACTTCTTTTTTTACTTTTTACTGATGGTAAGCAGACCTAAAAAGCTAACTGCTAGCCTTCATGTGCGCTCCTGGCATAGTAAACAGCTATTGGCACAGCCATTTTAAACATTAGACAAGAAATGTATATATTTATATATATATATATATATATATATATATATATATATATATATATATATATATATACATATATTTACATATATATATATATATATATATATTTACATATATATATTTACATATATATATATATATATATATATATATATATATATATATATATATATATATATATATATATTCTATCACTTATCTTACTGTTGCCTCAGTGACATAATCATGTCCAGAGGTCGAAGGCACAAAGACTGACCAATAAAACGTTGCAGATTGCTTGAGTTGTCATCATAAAATGTCTATAAAAGGAGCCACCAGAGAACCAGACACATAAATAGGCAGGAAAGCCCCTCACGCCGACATGTTTGTGGAAGAGCAGACAAAACGGCTGCAGATTTTAAAAAGTGAGACATTGGACACTCTCAGCTGATAGGCTCGCCCTAAACGGCCGACGATAAGGAGCCGAGTGAGTCAGAAACCAGAAGACAGGTGACGGATAGGTTAACAGATGAGTTGACATATAGTAGCAGAAATGCGAGGTGTGTGTGCGCTCATTGACACATAAGTATACTAACAGCGAATGTGGAGCTGGGAGGGGCAGAAGAAGACATCCCAAACATGACAGGCATGTAGTTAGACACTGTCTCCTGCTGACCACCCAGATTGATACATGCAGGCGTCAGCATGGAGACCACCAGCACTTTTGCTGCCCTGTGCAAATATTCATGCATGAATCTGTTCCATTTAGTCTGGTTCATGTGCTTACGCGTACATTCTCTGCAGGCAGCAGCCAACACGTTGTGGTTGGTTGAAGACGGTGAAGCCCTTCCCACACAACCATCCAAATCAGTGATGTCATCTTTTTTCTGCTGATGCATTTAGCACAAGTGAATGTTTTTTCAGTTTAAAAAGCAGCAAGTGAGCAGACTAAGTGAGGAAAATGAAAGAAACAGATAAAATCTAAAACCTTCGCTATGTGGTCGACACATGTTTGTGTACTGGCTTTCCACCGGGACTCCGGACATCGATATCTAATAACAGGTCCGGACTGGTTTGTCTTTGCTTGCGTTAACTGAGCCAACCTAAAACTGTCACATGTCACTTATATTCTGTTGCTATGTGATCTTTGGCTGGGATGAGCTACTGGCTTGTCTGTTTGCCTCTCCAGTCCACAGCAGATCATCTCCAGCAGCTTTTCATGAATATTTCAGCCTTGCAGTCTGCAGACTGGCAACAAGTGTGCTATTAGCATTTGCTGCTTGTTGTTGTTTTTATTTTTTCATTAAATCCATCACGAGACAAAAGAAAAGTAGTGCGGTGCCAGCAGTAGGTTGATTATTTGTTGTATTGTGAGCGATTTCAGGCCGAGCAGGAGTCTCGAGTTGTGTCTGTGTTGCGGAGTCATGCAGATCAATCATGTTTACCTCTCTGATTGTCATTTTATTGTTCGTGTGTTTATTTTTCTTGACTTTTTTTTCTTAAGGATCATTTGAAAATCATAAGAAAGAAGAACGGCTCTCGTTTTTTGAGCCACAGTGTTGATATGATCAAAATCTGTCCTGAGAAAGGAGTAGAATCAGGAACTGTGAATGGATGTTTGGCTGTGGTGTTATTCTCTGAATACAGTCTCATCAGAAAAAAAAAGGTTTAAACTAAAAACAAATTTCTGGGAGTTCAGCCAAGAGTAATTTTCCTCAGAAGACACCATTTTGAGCGTCCAGCTGTTGTTTCACACGTTACCGAGCGTTTAAGGGAGACTGCTGACCCCCATTTTCACACAACAAAGTCAAGCTAGTTTTGCAATTTTCATGTTTCCGTGTCTCTTTTCCAGACGAGGTCCGTTGGATCCTGCAGATTATCCCGTCCAGCCATGGGCAGGTCATTACCCCGGGCCTCCCCAGGCCCAGCAGGGATACCCCCAATCCCAGACCTACTCCAACTCCCAGCCTGGCTTGTCTCATTCCAACTACCCACCTGGCCCGCCATACCCACGACCAGGAGACCCTCGGGGGATTGATGCTGGGTACCATCCCCACCCCAGGTTTGTAGCTGCTTCAAGTTTATCTACAAATTTGTGATGAATGTTACATAAATCTTGTCTTGTGGCTGTAGCTCCCAGCAGAGAGGGCCCTTACGACAGGATGTGCCCCCATCTCCTCCCCTCCGGGCCCCACGGTATGGAACTATGACCCATGGAACTGTGGGGGGAGGGTACAGGTAAAGAGGGCCGGTCTTCTGTTAGGTACGTTATTTATATATATATATATATATATATATATATATATATATATATATATATATATATATATATATATATATATATATATATATATATATGTTTCTTTTTAAATGACTGCTGCCCTGCACTGATCCTCGTGAACCTGAGAGCATGATTGATGGGTTACAGGCACCTGATGGATCCCAGTACACACCAGTATGATCAAACTGTGGAACAACTGAAGCAGCAACACCAAAACAAAAGAGGACAGAAGAATGCTACAAATGCGGCTGTTTAAACAAACCAGGTCAAGAGATTAAACCGCAGATGTATAAAACAAGCAGAAGCTAGTTGGAGATGTTTCGGCAATTTTTAGAAATTTTCTGTGTAAATAACATTTTTATTCCTCCTAAATCCATTGAATCAGTTTTATTACATTTTAAACTAAAAAATATAACAAAATTAACAGGATTTCACATTTAAAAACTTTAATCGTCCATGACACGTCGAGTTTGAGCAATATTAGCGTCATGCTAAACAAAGCGGCCATTTGAAGAGCGGGAACTCCTATAAACTAGTTTCCATTAACTCTTAAAGATTTTATCAGTCACCATTTGGTCTGTTCCTTCAGGATTTAATCACAGTAAAGTTCTGAATAAAATCTGGTTAATGATGTGCTTTTATTAATGCAGCAGCTTTCCATTTTTTTATGTTTCTCTGAGTTCAGATGGGTTTAATTACATTTTTAGTAAAAAAATAAAATTGACAAGTTCCTACAGTAGCAATCATTCAGATCCGACATAAAGTCTCTGAAGAGTTCTGAAATGACCTGTTAGGTTAAGAAAAGAGTCAGAAATAAAAGGATTTCTTTGTTTCACATCACTAAACTCACAGTATTATTGCATGTTTAATATGACAGTAAAACTTACTAGAAACAGAAAATGATGAAGAAAAGATTATTTGATTGTGAACCTTGAAAAATGTGTTGTTGTTTTTATTTCATGAATCTTTTATAGAATAAAAAGGATAGTGAAATAATCTTAAGTAGTCAGAAAGACAGTTGAGGAAGGTGTGAGGAGATGGAAACCAGTAAAGGGAGGGAGGGGATGTAAGAGAAGGTAAGAATAAAATACAACAAGGTCACTGAGGCCCAGGTTTCATCAAAGAATAACTAAAGCGTGCAGTAGGAGGTGAAATATGGAAGGACTGAATGTAAAGATTTTTTATTACACTATTTTTGTGCTGTTTACTTTTTAAAATTCGTAAATAATATCATTTTATTTCCATTTTACACTAGTGACTAACTTAGATACTATATATTAAGAAGGTACATGAAAAAGATTTTTAGGAACAAATCAGTTCTGACATTTTTATTTTTGGGGCGTTTCAGTAAAAACAAGCAACAGAGAAAAATCTCTCATATCAGAATAATAAATGAAGTTTTATTCGTCTAAATCTGTGTAACTGAATGTTTCCTCGTTTCTCCGAGTGCCTGAGATCTGATGTGAAATTGTAATTTTTCACTCTGTTTCTGCACGTATGTAACTTGTCTCAAGCGTTTCTTTTTATGTGTTTTTACAACATTTTTTATGACGATCTTTGATGAATTTCAGCAGATTTTCTGTAAAAGCATGATGCCTTTTCTCTGTTCACGAGTTTCATACAAGCCAAAAACAATCTGTAGAAGAATTTCAATCCAACTTTTTTACACATTTTCATTTTCAATCAACCAAAGTTTTTAACTTTGCATCCGAAAGAAAGAATTGCACAAGTTGAAGGTACTATTTTTCTCTTTATTCTGCCTTTAAAGAAACCACTGACTGAAGGAACCAGCTAAATAACATTTCATAACATTTTTTATGAATATTATTCTCCATTTATCTAAACAGATAAAGAAGTAAACCACACTTTATAAATGCTGTAACAACTTGTTTTCCAGTATTTTGCATTTATGTATATACCACCTTTTACATTAAACTGTACTTTACTAAACTCCTGTGTCCAAATATGTCATGCTTTGATTTGCTCCTGAACTTCCAACGCGCGCCCAGCACATCTGCTGAAGTTAATTTAACCGGCGTCAGGAGGAATGATTTCCCCCTCCACCACCCTACAAGGTGAGTCATTAACATTGCCAACCTAATTTAGTCCATCTTTTAAGCCGCTGATAAGTGGTACCTTTGTGATAAGAGATAAATGCCAGCCTCACATTAACAGAAGACTAATTATCAATTAGAAAAAAAAGATGATGATGAGCTCCGGTTGTGGTAAAAGTTTTCTTCACTTTTCTGGTGCGGTGCCGCCATACTTTAGGTCATTCTCCCTGGCGTTTGTAAGCATTTAGTCACAGTAGGTGGCCTAAGGTGCGTTGTTATTTGTCAGACGCTTTAGCTGCTCGGCTGCAATCGGAGGAGTTGGACGTAATGAGACACAGAAGATGAGGAAGTGTTTTATCAGCCAAGCATTAATTAGCATATCCCACACCTTTTGGCCAATAGGGAGACAGAGAGGAAGTAATTAAATTCTGTTGGGTCACTGCCACGTTTCAGTATGGATCTGCAAATTGTTTCTTTGTGTGTGTGTGCACGTGCATGTGTGTGTATTTGTGTGCGTGTTTGTGTGTGATTGTAATGACTTATGTTCAAGTGTTTGTGTCGTTGAATGTCGGTTTGTTCTGATCACAGGCGGCAGATGAAAGAAGTGGAAGGACTGAAAGACTACCTGACACATTAACTTTTTTTCTATTCGTTGGAAGAGTAATAAATGTGGCCATTAACAGCTACATGAAAACATTTGATTTTAATATTGACTTTAAAGAATTTTCTTCTGCTGTTGATGACCTGAACTCCCAGTGGGAGTAGAAGTTTCCCTATGGACCTCTTTTGTTAAGCTAATAAGTGTTACCCATTTACTTAAAAGCATCAGGTTCATAGTCTGGAAAGCCATATGTATATATTTAGGCTGTCAACAGCCAATAGAAATCACAGTCACGGGGTTGTCTTTCAAACTGTCTCTGCACGCAACTGGACAGCTCTAGAGACAGAGCAAATGTTTATGCCTGAAGTTAGGAGCATTTTATGTTAAATAAATATTTATTTTATCATGATTTGCCTGTGCCACGTGTCCTCCATGTTACCCCAGGTCCCCAAGATGCCTGGGTAGTAACATGGGGGCTCGTCCGGGATGTTTTAAACACTTATTCTTAATTGGACATGTGATCATTGGTATCTTTCTGTGTTTAGAAGTATGTGCAGGAGTAGCATCTTTAACTTTAGAACTGTTCGTAGCGGCCTCATCCCGTGCGCTAATTGATGCCTAGGGTTAGGGTTTGGTATTGCCAAAAAAATTAACAAAGCAAAACCTTTTATCCCAACTTCACACTAAAAGCATCAGCGGCGTGGAAAGGCAGCGGAATGTTGCTGCTAAGAGGTTGATTCAAATCGACCATGGCGCGAAAATTTTCAGGCGCTTCCCAGAAGCAGTTCACTGCACTGCTAAAGATAGGTTCTGGCTCTGTTTTTGTCGCGAGCCGCTTATGGGACACGCCAATCTCCGCAGTTAACATAGGGCTACACAGAAAATCACTCACAGTTTCAGTGTAAAACGTCTGGTAATTGTGAAAATAAAAGTCTATTACAGCAATGCAATTACATATCTATGTAGATTATGTCTGTATGTGTGATCTCACGGCCTATTTACTCCCTGCATCTTTTGAGAAGTGCAACAATGTGTTTTCCATGGCTTTAATCCTGGTAGTTGAGTGGAACAACATTATATATGACATCAAACATGATCTCCTTCTCTTTGCTTTAAGGCTGAATGGCATAAACAAACCATGACATTTGAAGTCTCAAGGATTCTTGTGATGTTGCAAATTCAGTGATGAGCATGGTGGAGAAGTCACTCGGTGTGTACTGGCTTACAGCGACGCTCGCTAGTAAACCGTTCCACTGCCATTCTGATGCTTCCAGTGTGAACTAGGGGTTGTGCTACTGCTATGACTTGTCTAGTTTTGTAGACCATAAGGTTCATTCAGTTCAGGAAGTCCGGAGCATTACAATTGTGTTAATGGCTTCCCTGAAAAGCTTTGCTGTTTGATTCTTTATTATTGCCTTGTTCTATAAACAATTCAACGGTATAACGCCTGGTTGTTGCAGAGATAATCCAGCTTTAATTAACACACATATGCAGGAGGCAAATTAATGAAAGCACCTGTACACCTGCAGATTTCTGCAGTCTGTTCAGAGCAGACATCGCTGCATGCATGCCGAAAAACATGCTCCTCTGCAAACAGAGAGAGCTTATCGAAGATCTGGGGAAGAGAGCTGATAAAACTCCAGTAACCATGTCTGGTGAGCTGAAAACACACATCAAACCTGGATTTAAACACCAAAGATGGAATCCTTCAGCCTGGAGCAGAAACATTGAGGATCCCCAAAAGAGGGGTTTGGAAAGTCTGATGTGGTGAAACAAATGTTTAAATTTTTTTTTGCCAAGCGTGCATACGGTACCATATGAGTCTGTGTGGCTGGTAAACGTTCCTAACTGTATTTGACGGACTGTCAAAGACCGACTGACTGTATGAAGCCGTCTTTGACTGACTGCATGTGTAATTGTTCCGACCTTCCCAAGGCAGGTCTGGCATGCTGTAATTATTAACAGTTATTATTAGTAGTTTTAATAAGCATCGTAAACCACTGTAATTAGGATTTCCTATTATGAGTAGCTGCCAGCGTGTGTGTGTGTGCGTGTGCGTGTGCGTGTGTGTGTGTGTGTGTGTTTGGGAAGGTATTGTTCAGTCAAAGCTATTACTGGCCGCCTGGCAGCTGCTTTTTGTTTCCTTGACTTCTGATTGTTTTGCATGTACACATGGTGTTTGAAGGCTGTCCTTAGAACTGCCAGACCTTCATTTCTCCATAATTATGGCCAACATACTGTCTTGTTTTCTCCAGAGTGTGGACTCAGGAGTCCTGATCACATCTGGGTCTTAACCCTTGTTCGTGAGAATAATACCTTTCTATGGAAATTTACTCCCTTTTTGTTGAGTTTGTAACTTGAGGGAGTTTAGAGGTTTAGAGCAACACTGAATGGGACGCATGCACGGTTCTGCAAAAATCAGCAGATATGTAGAAGTGAAACTCAAGGCCATGTGTGGGTTTTCCAATCAGTCATCAGAATTTATACTTTTACTTAACTTTACTTTTTCTTCTTTTTATACTCAAGTTGGGAAAATCACAAGAAAAAATGTTTCATGCTTGTTAGCAAAAATATCCCTTCTTTTAGGTAAATTCAGAACATAAGTTAAAGCTTTGTTTTTAATGCATATATATTATATACAATCTTTCTCTTTTTACTACAATTTTAAGTGTTTTCCTTTTTTAAACTTTTTTTTCCAGATTTATTTTTTCAGTGTTTTTATGCATTTTCACAAATTGTGTTTCTTGAATAAAAATTTTATACACAATTTAAAAGCATGCCAAGATTTTCCTGATATCGACAAAACGGTCACTAACCAAACAAAAGAAGTAAGACTGCTGATTTAACAAAGAATAAACTATAAACAAAACTATTAAAAAAAACATATTTTTGTGTTCTAAAGCCCAGGTTAACTCAGAAACCAGTTTTCACTTTTATTTTTATTTCTGAAAATGATCAGTTCACTCTTTTTTTTCATGCAGGCTAAATGTGAAAATACTCTCCTACCACTGTTTAACTTGCATTAACTTCTGATAGAAGACACACAGAAAGCGCTTGGTTCAGAAAAGCCTGACAGATCTATGTCACACTGTCACTTAACGTTCATGGAGTCCCCCATCTTAACTTGCGACTGGGAACTCAGTGGTAGAGTTATGTTGCTGTTAGCCATTCAGATGTGAGATGTCCAAATTTCAGGAAATAAAACTCCAAACAGACCTGCTGTCTGAACCTTCTTTCTCCTCCAGCTGACATCCATGTCCTCAAGGCTCACCAGAACTTTTTTCACCATAGAATGGCTTACAAGGCATTCTTTCCTACTACAGACAACTGCAAATATATTAGTAACATGAATAGCTTTAAAGCATTTTCATCACAATTGTATCCATATTTGTATTGTTCCATGTATTTTCTGCAAGTAACTGTAAAATAATCAGTGTGGTAATAAATTGCTATCATCATGAGAATGTGAATACTTTTCTTAAGTTTCATTTGAGATCTTTCTGAATCATTCATCTTCTATGACATTCCCCCTTCGGCCCCCTGGAATAAAGATCCAAAACGGAAAGAACAAATTGGAGTCATTACAATATCTTTAAAAAATCAACAAAAATGTATTCTATAGGTGATTTAGAATGTTTTTTCCCCTGTTTCCTGTCTGGCTGTGAAGCAAAGAGAATTGATGTCTGAATGCTGGTGAGAAGCTTTACAGATTTACTCTCAGGTGGAGCATCAAAGCTTCTGCTTTAATGTCACGCCTGATACTTAAAACTTTATTGTTATATAATACAACAGAACCAAGCTATCACTGTGTCAACCTGATGAGGAAATATAAAATCAACATTGTTTTGCTGAACAATCACACAATAATAAATCACAGTGCATTTAGTGCCCACCACAGCCTTAAGACATGTGTTGAACGTGCCCAAGTCCATACTTATGAGAGCACCATGTGAGTACCTGTGTGCGTACACGTGCTTGTATATGTAAGGTTTCTCTATAGGATCGTCCAATAGAGAGTGTAAGGGGCCACAGATCTGCCCCCCAAAGATGCGTAGGAGATGGAAGGAGCTCCAAGCCCCAGAGATCCAGGAGCTGACCCAGAGCACAGGGACTGGGAGACTGCAACCAGAAAAGCCCCTGCCCCTCGAGAGGCGCAGAGGATTGTCCCGGGGGGCCACAACCAGCAGCCGGCGGAGTCCCGGGAGACATCAGCGGCAAGCCCACCCGTGCCCTCCCACACCCCAAGGCGACCAAGCCTGGAACCCAGCGACCATTGAAACCATGAATGCTAATTA